TTTTTTTTTAATAGTGCTATTACAACTCAAATAGCATAATCATCTAAACAACAGCAAAAAAAGAAAGAAAGAAAGAAAATGGATTATACAATAAAATACAAAAGGGGTTACTTTGAAGGAGGGGGGGACTCTTGACTTGCCATGCAAAACATCATCTGGTCCTCAAGCCAATAGAAGTTATGCACTTCTGACCTACATAATGTATTTTGGTGTTAGATGCTAAATGTTCACAGCTCTCTTGGATGCATTCCATAGAAAATAATGGGCATGTTCCAGGCTTCCCAAGGAGCAAAGAGAGATACTTCAAACTAAATATGCACAGAAATGGACTAAGTCCCAAGGTATCTAACATATATTGCTATTTCTCCCACTGCTTAATTTTTGGCCAAGTCATCTGCTGAGATGGGCCACCATGGGAAAATTTTGGATGATAAAATAGTAAATGAGGGAAGCATCCCTCCTTCACTGTGCAAAAGGCTGTTTCCAGGTGGCATTATTTTAAGCGATCATCAGGTTTCTGCAACGCTTAGCACATTAACTCAATCTCTTTATTTCATCCTATTTTCTCTAATTAAGTGGTGAAATGTGCTGAGAAATTATTCACCCTCTTTGAAGCTTATGTGCACCTGATATTAATAATCAATTATGTACTGAAGTAAATGATGCAGATTTAATTTTGCTCATTACTTGCTGGCTTCTCCAAATCCATTTATTTTTTTCTATGTGACTTAAGCAAGGTCATTCACATTTTTTATCAAAGACTGGGTTGTGAAACTTGGGTCTTTAGAGTCATATGCACCCATTGGTTTATTTCATGCTTGTTTCTAATGCTTTTTGCAATTAATCAGTGCAAATCTATAGGCAAGGGTTCTTGTCACCTACGAGGGAGGGAGGGAGGGAAGGAGGGAGGGAGGAAGGAATTGGGTTACCCCATCCACTTTTTGAAAGGGACACGGTGGCTCAGTGGCTAAGATGTGGAGCTTGTTGATCGAAAGGTCGACAGTTCAGCGGTTCGAATCCCTAGTGCCGCGTAATGGGGTGAGCTCCCGTTACTTGTCCCAGCTTCTGCCAACCTAGCAATTTGAAAGCATGTTAAAAAGGCAAGTAGAAAAATAGGGACAGCCTTTGGTGGGAAGGTAACAGTGTTCCGTGTGCCTTTGGCATTGAGTCATGCCAGCCACATGACCATGGAGACATCTTCAGACAGCGCTGGCTCTTCAGCTTTGAAATGGAGATGAGCACCGTCCTCTAGAGTCGGGAACGACTAGCACATATGTGCAAGGGGGAACCTTTACCTTTACCTTTATCCACTTTTTGCTTTGGGCCACCATTGACGAGATGTGATCACCAAAGATTTATTTCTATGGGACAATGTCCCTCATCAGAAAAATGTTTAGCACTATGACTGTCAAGAACAACTATCCAGAGAAAAGAATCAGATATTGCAAGGGTGAGTTTATCTACCGGTGGATCCTCACAGTGTATGAGTTAGGATTAGACATCATCTCTTCCACTGCATGTGTAATCAGATCCTTTAAAGAGGTAACCCATTTTTCGGCGTACCAAATCCCATGGAAGGAGTCATCTATACTTTTAGATGCTGCTGAGATCAGATAGCAACTATGTCCAAGGGAGTCACAGAACAGCAGATAACAATCCTCTTGGTATAATTATTGGAGTTGTAATCTCACATTTGGAAAGAAAAAAAAATCAGCTTGAGGAAAGCTGAATTGTGAAGTATATCTCAGTATATGAACTGGATTCTGCAGCCAAAGTTGCCTTTTTACAGTGACTGAAAGAAAGTTCAGCTTTAATCCCAAATTGTTGTTAGTCATCCAAGTGCTTTGGCAAGGAAGACATAATAATCTCCAAGGGCTGCTTGGGAGTTCTTTGCCAAAATAATGAACAATGGGTATTTTTATATGCCCTTTCTTGCAGTACAAATGATGTGTTTCAGAACTGCAGACAGGTGTATCAGGATTTAAAGGAGCAATTCAGAAAAATCATATTTTCAGTTCTTCAGCTTCACAAATCTATAGCCAGAATGTTGGACAGGAATCATACTACACTAAAACAACAACAATAACAACATTCATACAATCTCATATTCTTGATGGTTTAAACCAAGGTTTCCCAAACTGTGAGGTCTTGGGAAGGTGCAGACAGAGTGCAAGGTAAGTGTGAAGATTTTTATATTTTATGTCTTTATTAAATATTATTTTAATAAAGACATAAAATATAAAAAATTGTACTCGTTTTGGTGTTTGGTTTTTTAGGAGAGGTATGTACATTATGATTTCACTAAAGGGAGACATGATGGCAAAAAGCTTAGTAACCCCTTAAACTTAATTGTAAAATGTGAGTCTATTGAAAGCATGCTGTATGTATTAAATTACAAATCATTTCAAATTTAACTTTAGCAATAGTCCATTGAAAGGTCCAAGACTTTATTCTTAATATTAATCACCTGGAGGACAAGATAGACAGGTTTGTAGTAAACAATTGGAGACAAGAAAGTTGCTAAAATACAGGTAGTCTTCGACGTATGACCAAAATTGAGCCCAAAATTTTGTATTGCTAAGCAAAACAGTTGTTAAGTGAGTTTTGCCCCATTTTACAAACTTTCTTGGCACAACTGTTAAATGAAGCACTGCAGTTACTAAATTAGTAACATGGTTGTTAACTGAATTTGGCTTTACCGTTGATTTTGCTTGTCAGAAGGTCGCAAAAGGTGATCACATGACCCCGGGACACTGCAACCATCATAAATAGGAGTCAGTTGCCAAGCATCTGAATTTGGTCATGTGACCATGGGGATGCTACAACGGTGATGTGAAAAACGATCATAAGCAGTGGTGGGATTCAGCCGGTTCTCTCTGGATTGCGCAAACCGGTAACGGCGACTGTGGGAGGCTCCGCCCACCCACCTGGACATAATGCGCAATTACTGCGCATGCACAGAAGACCGTGCACATGCGCAGAGGTGGCGCATGTGCTCACATTTGTGAACCGGGAGGGATAGTAAGTGAATCCCACCTCCGATCATAAGTCACTTTTTTCAGTGCTGTTGTTAACTTCAAACGGAAACTAAATAAACTGTTGTAAGTGAAGGACTACCTATGCTGATTTTTCCTTCCAATTGCTTCTTCTAAAAAACAACTGCTACAGTTTTAGAAATAGGGCAGGTCTATAGCAAAAAAGGATAAAATCCTATTGGTCTTCAGCTTCGCAGTTCCCAGCGCTCCAACCTTTTCTCTTATGCTAGTAAGGGGGCACCTGGGCACCAGCAGTTCAGAAGACAGAATCAGTTGGTTGATTGTTGGAGATTCTGACCCATTTTGGTTGCAACGTCAAGCATTACAATTATAGCTAATTCCCCACTGAGGTTTTTTTAAAAAAACCCACTAACATTCCACTGATATATTAATTGTGCAATGTCCCCATTATGTGATGTTGCTCAAAGGCTGCTCCAGTTTACATCCACAAAGCAATACAGCTGATGTGGATTTATATTTAATGAAACTCTCTAATTCCCTTTCCTGAATATCACATGTGCGAGCCACATGTCCTCGATTGTAACTGTTTGGGTAACTTAAATAAAATGCACACATGCAATTCATAAGGGAAAGTCCAAAGAGAACATTTTATATATAAGATTGCAGTGTTGATCATACTGAGCTAGAAGGAGAGATGAAGGACTCATTTCTTCTTATAGCCCTAGAGGGCTCATATATCTCATGTAATTATCTTGAAGCTGTATACAAACAACACAATTAAAATGACTAAATGCAATAATAACCTTACAGTGAATTTATATTAAAAAAACATATGTATTAAAAAGAGATAGAAAGAACAGGGAAGCAAAACTAGAACAGGGAAGAACAAAATAATGCAACAGCATCGTGGTGCAATGACTCCTCTAGAGATTGTACACTTCAGTCAGGTTTATCCTAGCAAAGGTGGTCTACCAGGTTGCTTAGGCCTCATGTATCAAAACTTGGAAGCCTGAATTTGGCACAGGGCCAATTATCATGACCTGATGTACAGCAAGATGCTCCACTCAACCACTTCACTGCCACTTTCTGGACCAGCTGAAGCTTCTGGATCAATGGCCAGGGCAGCCCCGCCATAAAATGCATCACAGTAGTCTAAATGAAAAGCACCCACATAAATCACTAATATACTATTCCCTATTCAGGAAAGGTATATCTATTCAGGAAAGACCATAGCAGATATGGTCCGCTGAAGGTGGGTGACTAATTAAAACTTAATTACACATCCCCCACCCCCATGTGTCTGGCTCCCTCCTTTGCCAACTTGTGTTAATGATTTCATCTGCTGTGTTATTTTATAATTGATGGTTTTAATGTTTTTGGGTTGTAAGCCACCCAAAATCATTGGGTATGAGATGGGAGGCAAATACATTTCATAATAAATAAAAATAAAGATATACCAACTGAAGTTGGTAATTAATGCTCTTGGCAATATGATGTTTTATTTGAATGTTTCTAAGCCACCTAGAGTCACTTTGGAGAGATGGGAGGCAAATAGGTTTGGTAAATTAAAAAAAAAAAAACATTTAGGGTTCTGCTGCAAGTGTTCAAAATACAATGTGAAAATTGCTATTCAAATACATTGGTTAAAACAAAAGCCATTTATGCTAGCACTGATGATGTTACCTAGTTGGATAATAAAACGCCTGCAAGAAAACCACCAAGCTCAGAGAGCACCAAGGATCCCCCAGTTCAACCCTGAGCTACAAATATTTTGGATAAAGCATTAATTGGAAGTATCCTTAAATATTAACTTAGTTAGACCAAAGTATCTGTGACAGAAGCCAATGTATACCCATTAAGGTGAGGCTAGATTTATAAATTCATAGACCCACATTGAAACATCTGTCTCACAAGCTGAAAAATATTTACAGGATATTAAAACTCACTGACTGCTAACAATCCTAGCAATTAAACATTTTAAAATTAATATGGTTCTATTTTTACCTGTTTCAGCCATACATTAGTTGTCATTAACTGTTTTTTTTCATCCTGTTGGAGAAGAGGGGGGAAAAAAAGAGCAAGTCATTTATTTTTATTTTCTTTTTTTTCCCAATTTTTATTTATAAGTACAAACTAAACGGAACAATGAAATGTACAAAACATAAAAACATATAAACACCCATTTCAATACATGTCCAGTTTATCGCAACTGTAATATACATTTCTCTTTGTATTTTGACTCTTCCTTATTTGGTCATTCCCTTTTGTCTATCTACTATAGATCTTTGTTGACCTATGTCTATTCTTTGTTTCCATCATACTATATTTGGTCATTTTGTTTACTTCCTATTGCTTCATCTCTTTCCTATCTTTCAACCAACTATACCACTTTTCCCATACTAAGTAAAATTTCATGTTCTTCCCTATTTTGTAATTCCTTTGTGAGACTATCTAATTCCACACATTCCATAGTTTTATTGATTACTTTATCTGGTGTTGGTATATCACTACTCTTCCAGTGTTGCGCGTATAGTATTTATTTTCTTTTAAATATCCCTTACATCCTCAGGGAGTCAGCTACATTTTCGGATGATATTTTGTTTCCCAGGAGGAGCCCTATGTGAAATAATTAAACTTGAATGCTTTTAAGATTGCTATTTGTACGTAAGGATAGAAAAGGAGGAGGATAGAATGACTTTACAACTCTTTACATAATTATTTGATTCAGAAGTAGGGTTACCGGAGGAGAATATCGCCTCCTTTTTGTCCTTGTGTCTTTTGTCCAGCAGACATAGTCAAATATTGTTGGGCTTTTTGAGTATCTAACAAGCTTTCTTCTCCTGAGCAGTTTTTCTCCATCACACAATCAATTCCTTAATCAGTTAACTACAAGTTAAGAAGCTCAGCTGTAATTAGCTGATTAATTAGTTGATTACCACCCTCCTTCTCCTGCCGGAAAGTGACCTTAATCAACTGTACCCTGAAGACCTTTGCCTCCTGAACAGCTCTAGCACATCCCTAAGACTGGAAGAAAAAAAAAACCCAGTATTTCTTGTGCTAGAAAAGTAATTGCGTGTACACATAAACTTACCTATTTTCTTTTTCAGTTTTCCACTGTGGTTTTTGTTGTAAGTGCCAGGAAAGTTAAACTGTTCAAAACTGTTGAAAATTAAACTGTTAGCATGCCTTCATTTTCTTCCTTTCCAATTCTCTCTTTTGCCTCTTCAGATATCTGGTAATCTTATTCAGATGCCACCTCAATCTCCGTGCTACCCTACATGACACCTAAGTCATATCTTCCCTGAAGTAAAACACCTGATCTTGAAGATTGCTCTGGAGCCTTTTATAGCCATGCAGCTGGAATAAATGCAGCTGTTTTGGCTTTGCCCTTCCCTGTGACAAGCAGGAGCTCCAGACTAGTAACTGGAAATCTCGCCCAAGGCTGTGACATAACCAAGGCAGATTCCAAGTCTTTAATCATAGAAGAAAACATAGGATGCTACAGCATTTGGCAAACAGTTCCCTCTGGATTGAGCAGGCCTAGAGTATTTATCTAAATTGGACCTGATCAACAGCCTTTAGGCTCCAGTTCTGGCAAATTATAGCTTCTGATTAGCTACAACCCTGGCAAGAACCTGCCGCATGACAGGCCATCACATAAGCAGGAGCTCAAGAACATTTTCACTTCCCAAGCAATAATACCAAAAGGTAATCAGTAGCTACAGGGACTAGCTTAATGTCTTGATGTCTTTCCAAGTCAGTCTTTACTCCTGCTGAATATACAGACAAGTCCATGAAGTTTCTTGGCAACATTTTCAGAAGTGAGTTGCTACTGCCTTCCTCCTAGGGCTAAGAAAGAACCAAATGGCTCTCATTAATAAACAGCCTCCATTAGTTTGTCTAATCTCCTTTTAAACCTACCTAAAGTGATATATAATCAAATTCCATAGTTCAATTACATGCTTTCTTTTTTCTGTCATCCGCTTTTTGCCAGTCAGCAAATTAGAATACTTCAATTCTTCTAATAAGGCATGGAAAGGAAATTTCCTTGACCAATTTCTGTATTATTTAGCATTAGATAATAATGCTAGCATAGATCCTCTCATGCTATATAGCATCTCAGGCAGCAATTTCTGCATAAATGCATAATTTTATGTTTCACTTGGGATTTTTTTTACTTCAAGCTTAAAGTCCTCAACATTATAAAATTTTCTAATAAACAAATTGTTTTACTTCATCATTATAATGGGATGCTTACTTGGTATTTTTTCCAAGTTCATAAATGCATTGAAGATTCAGTGGCTAAGACAATATATAGTATTGGCTTGGGCCCGGGGTACTTGCAGGACCATCTCCAGCCACTCTCCCACCGTCCTGTGCGCTCTCACAGAGTTGGCCTCCTCAGGGTGCCGTCGGCCAAACAATGTCAGCTGACGGCCCCCAGGAGGAGAGCGTTCTCTGTGGGAGCCCCGACCCTCTGGAATGGATTGCCCACCGAGCTCAGGACAGCCCCCGACCTTCTTTCCTTCCGTCGCGAGCTGAAGACGTGGCTCTTCCGTCAACTCAACTGATCCATTTGGGGATACACTGTCATAATTTTAAACTGTTTTAATAGGGTTGCTGATTTTAATTTTATTTCATTGTGATTTGTATTGGAATTTGTCATTTTGTAAGCCGCCTTGAGTCCCCAGGGAGAAAGGCTGCATATAAATCGCAATAATAAATAAATAAATAAATAAATAAATAAATAAATAAATAAATAGTATTTTCCTAAATACAGAATTTGTCCCAAAACATTATAATTACAATTTTATTTTAAATTTGTTCCCCAATGTGAAATTTGCATTATCAGAACAACTGCACATTGAATCTATGTTTCCATCAAAATATCTAACACAACCCAAGATTTTTTTTAAATTCAACTATTTTTTAACTTAAACATTATGAACCTATATAAGAACATTATATGAAAATTAAATGGGAATTTCTGGCTTCTATCTTTTTATAGATACTTACATTGTTTTTACTATTCTAAGTAAACAGCAACTGTGAGCAAAGTTGAACGTCTAATTTATGAACAAAACATACATGCACACACAGAAGGACACCAGCCTGCTCAAACTCTTGGAATTCTCTTTCTCTTTATTTTCCCCTTTTCACCTCTGCATTCTCTCTCTTGATTAATAACTTAAAGTGAACACTTGAAATGTGGAAAAGAATTTATTCACAGTCAAATATCACTGAACAACTATTAGCAGTCCAAAGGAGATTCAGTACCAGAAATAAAATATTCAGGGATGCAGAACTGGAAGAGATTCAGAAAAGTTGCAAAAATGGAAGACCAAACAATAGCAGAATAGTAGAAGAAACTCAGATAATAACAATTGCAAATATAAGGGAAAAAGATAATATGAACTACAGAAATGATAAATTAGACTAATAGCAGAACCAGAACAAGCCACGACCTATGAACTTATCTCCCAACTCTACCAACAAGAAGAATTTAAAGAGAAAAGTATGACATATGCAGAATTACTAAAGACAAAGTCTGCCAGTACTGAAAGTAGTGTCCCCAAAAGATCTGGCACCTATACTGAAAGATGTGAATAAGGTAATAGTGAGGATTAAAATGACATCTATTGACCTGACCAATCAGCTTGGTACAGCTCGTTACAGAAAAACTGGGTATTGAAATTAGAAAACCAAAAGCAAAATCATACTCAATCCCAAAGCAAATGAATGATCAGATTAGATGTGATTAATTTAAAGAACATGAAAGAGTGAAAATTGAAGAATGTAGGGAGCAAGACAAGCTTAATAAAAAAAAATTAATACTAGATACTAGAAAAATCGAAGAAGCTTTGGAACTCATAAAGTAACAAACACCACCAGTAAAAGGAATAATTGAATGCTATGAGGCACGAATCATACAGTTTAAGCAAAAGCAGCTGTTTCAAATAGACCAGAGACCATTCTACCAAAGTATAAATGGCAATAGAAATTCTGAAAATGGAAAACCAAACTAAAAGGAAACAATCCATTTTTGGAAAGATCTATAGGAAACTCAAAAGACTACAAAAAATGTTGAATGGATAAAATAATTTGAAGGTGAATTTAATAAAAATCAAATGGGAGAACTAATAATAACAGAAATAGTTAAAAATGAAGTGAAAAGAATGAACAATTGGACATCTAGAGATGATAAATTGCATGGATTGGTTCAAATAACTAGCTTACATCCAAGTATTGCTAAACAGTTTAATGAAATATTGTAAAAATTGTATAAATATCAGTGACTGGTTAATAACTGGCAAAAGATAGAGAAGATTCTCTCCCCACATTACTTCCATCTTGATTTTAATTTTATTTTTTTTAATTCTATTTTGCTTTTTGACTTTTTGACTTTTATTATATTGTAAGCTGCCCAGAGTCACTATATTACTGAGATGGGTGGCATGGAAATTCAAAAATAGATAAATAAATCTTATTTGATTCAAAAAGACCCAGAGAAAGAGATAACACCAGGAAACTCTAGGCTGCTAACATGTTTGCCTACAATATTTAAATTACTCATGGACATACAAGCGGACAATAGCCAAAATTGTTTAGAAGAAAATAACATCCTTCCAACAGAACTGAGCAAAAATAAAAGGAAAAGCAGAGGTACTAAAGATCAATTTCTGATTGATGAAATGGTAATGGAAAAATCTCACAAGGTGAAAAACCGATTTGCAAATGGTCTGGATTCATTGTAAAAAGGTGTTTGATTCATTACCAGAAAAGTTTGGAAACCTGTGTCCATAAAAACATTAGAATGTTTATAGAAAATAGAAGCAGTGGAAGACAGAATTGGAGTTTGGAAATGAAAAATATGAGCTGGTCAACGTTAGGAGAGGCATTATCACCTTTGTTATTTGTCATTGTTATGATCAGAACAATGAAGAAATTTTTGATTTGGAAAAAAAATATCTTGGTTGCAAACAGCAAAAAAAAAATGCTAATAAAAACTGACATTTTGCCATGTGGATGGCTGAAGTTTTATGCAAAGTCAGAAATCAAAATACAGTCATTGACAAATACAGGAGGAATTTTAATCAAAAATATAGCAATGGACTATGGTCTAGAGAAATGTGCTAGAGTATCAATAAAACAGAATAAAATCACAAATAGTAATGGAACCGAAATACCAATTGGCCAACCCATCACGTTTGAAGCCTACAAGTATCTGGGCATTTTCCAGTTGAATAACATCAAGCGTGAACAAATTAAAAATGTATTTAGTAAAGAATACACCAAAAAAAAGTGATGGAAATGCTTAAAACAAAATTGAATGATATAAAAGCACCATCAAAGCCATCAATGCCTGGGCACTATCTGTGATACAATGCACTATTGGAATTATTAATTGGGCACAAGTTATCCTGGACAGTTTGGATCAAAAAAAGCAAGAAAACTAATGACTATTCATTATGCATTACATCCTGAAGTTATATTCATAAATTATATCTACCCCACAGAAATAGAAGCATACTTGAAGTCTAACAAACTTTTGAAGAAGAAAATAATGCATGGCAGTGGTGAGATTCAAAATTTTTTACTACCGGTTCTATGGGCATGGCTTGGTGGGTGTGGCATGGCATGGCATGGTGTAGCATGGTGGGCGTGGCAGGGGAAGGATACTGTAAAATCTCCATTCCCACCCCACCACAGGGGAAGGTTACTGCAAAATCCCCATTTCCTCCCCATCAGCTGGGACTCGGGAGGCAGAGAATAGATGGGGGTGGGGCCAGTCAGTGGTGGTATTTACCAGTTCTTCAAACTACTCAAAATTTCTGCTACCGGTTCTCCAGAACTGGTAAGAACCTGCTGAATACCACCTCTGATGCATGGATTGATTGTGTAAAAGACAACCAAGAACAAGCATTGCTGCCAGTCAAATATTGAAACTGACTGAATGTGCAGAAAATGAAACATGAATCTCCAAATTATGCAATAAAAACAAGGACCGAATCCTGGAAAGGAAAAGCTTTACATGATCAATTTTATAAAAGATCATGGGGAAAATGGATAAAGATAAAACCTGGCAATGCCTGACAACTGGAAGATTAAAAAAAGAAACTGAAGGCTTGATTTTCACTGCTCAAGAGCAAGCTATTAGAACTAATGCAATCAAGGTCAGAATTGAAAAAAATTGTCAAATGATTAAACTGCAGATTGTGGAAAGAGGCGGAAGACACAATAGGTCAATTCATGCAAGAAGATCGTGCAAACTGATTATAAACAATGACAACACAGTCATCAAAATGATCAGCAAAAGTCATATAAAAATGATTATACTGTATGTCAGTTAGGGAAAATTAGTGGGAATATAGAGCTGAAAAAGAGCTACTTAAAACATGGGAATTTCAATAAAAACTTATAGTCTTGGCTCATAATGTGCTAAATTTAACTGTGGTTGTAAAGTGGGGTAATTGATGTGACAATACCAGGTGATAATAGAATAGAAGACAAAGAATTGCAGAAGGTGACAAAGTATCAAGATCTGAAAATCGAAACTGAAAAATTATGATATAAACCAATCATGATGGTCCCAGTGGTTATCAGCACATGGGTGCCAAACCGAAAACATTTTGGACAGCATTTAGAAAATCTGTGTATTGACAATTACAAAAAGACAGACTGCTTGGATTTATGCATGTAGTATACTGTGCCAATACACCATCACCTTGGGAAGGACTCAACAGGTGGATAAAAATGCCAAATCCAAGCTGAACGCCTGGCTGACTGTCCGACGAACTGTAAAATCTTTGCAAAAGTAAACTCTGTAATTTTTTTACAGGGCTGCAAGTATAAACACTTTTTTTAAAAAAAATGCATTTGTAAGTGTAATAATAAAAGATCTGTATTGCCTATTCTGGCCCAAAACTTTATGCAAGCACATACCAACAAATAGAAAAGAATGAAAAATTTTGCACGCCTTAAGCACCAGCTATGCTTCCTAAGAGTCACATATCTTTCAGATATTGTATCTGTATTCCTGAACTGCCACTCTTAAGACCATCTCCCTGCATGCTGGTTGGGGAATTCTGGGAGTTGAAGTCCACAAGTCTTAAAGTTGCCCAGTTTGGAGACCCCTACCCTAAAGCAATAAGGGTATATTTTGCTCTCCTTCTGCAGCTTTATTCAGCTTGGATTTGAACTCCCACAATCCCTAACCAGAATGGCTGATGGCTATTTGAAAAAATAGCCAGTCCTATCACATCCTGCTAATTAAATATTGGAGGGTGGGGGGAAAACAATTTCTCTGTGTTAGATGTTTTAAAAAAGCCATTAACAAGATTGATAGAGACAAACAGGAACAGGAACATCCTTTATCAAGGGAAATAATGTGACTGCCCCTATCAATGAATGTCAGAAAAAAATAGTTTAGAGATTACCTACCACATCTACAAGCTGAGAGATCTTCAGTCCAAAATATACCTTTATAGTATCATTAGCATGTTTTACTGGCCTGATCCATTTCTGATATCCGCGAAACAAGTGTCGCAAAAGAGCATCTTCATTCTCAGCAAATGAACTGAACACAGTAAAAGCTAAAAGACAGAAAAAGGGTTGGGGGAGGCAGAAATAATTAACTGGAGCTACCATATAAAACATTGCAATAGCCTAATACAATCAAATTAAAATCATAGACATGTCGTATACATGTTGTTCTAGACGCAAAGAGAATATTTTTTTTAAAAAAAAAGTTAGCCAATGGCATTTCTTTCAAGACTAACTCCAGTGGGAACTTTTGAACCATAAATAATTTAAGTAGCTGTGGAAGGGGCAATTTAAATATAATAATATATAATTATTTCTAATGTAAGAATGGCAGCCAGGACAATGTAGAATGCAAAATGCCAGCTTGGACAGAATTAAAAGTCTATGACAGTATATAAATTTTAGCAGATGGGCTATATATATATATATATAAAAGGAAACAATCTGGACCTATTTCCAAATGAAAGCAATTTTAGGGGGAAAAACAACAACTCTTAGAATCAGTGCCTCCCACCTCTAGTTTTGAAACACTGTTCAGGATGACAGAACTCTTGTACTTTTAACAGTTGCCTAGGAGTCTATTTAGCAAACTGTCATATTGTACAGAGGTGAGAAAAGCCATAAACAACATTATTCCTCCCTAAGCACCTATAGTACCTTATTTATAGAAGAGAACGCCAATCTTTATGCTACATTTGAAGCAGTGGTGGGTTTCAAATATTTTTACTACCAGTTCTGTGGGCATGGCTTGGTGGGTGTGGCTTGGTGGGCATGGCAGGGGAAGGATTCTGTAAAATCTCCATTCCCATCCCACTCCAGGGGAAGGTTACTACAAAATCCCCATTTCCTCCTGATCAGCTGGGACTCGGGAAGCAAAGAATAGATGGGGGCGGGGCCAGTCAGAATTTTTACTACTGGTTTTCTGAACTATTTAAAAATTTCCACTATCGGTTCTCCAGAACTGGTCAGAACCTGCTGAAACCCACCTCTGATTTGAAGGAATATTTTTATTAAGCATCCCTTATTAAGCAGGTTTACATGGTTTGCCTAAACATTGTCTTTTAACCCATCTCAGTTGTTGGGGTCTTAGGTCAGAAACTGTGGTTTGCAAATCCCAGTGGCTAAGTGGCTACAGTACAAAATAACTGATCTTTGTTGTGTGCAAATCCAGTCATTAAGTTTGGGTTCAAGGATGATCTCCGGTGACTGAAAAGTTGAGTGGATTGCATCGTGAGTGAACTGCAAGAATAACCATGGGTGACAGGAGAAAGAGCTGCAGCCAGGACAACTGTCAGACAAGAGATAACTCAGCCCACATAAGGAACTGGAGGTGAAGAAAGCATCTCAGAAAGGACCCTCTCTACTTCTCTGGAAAGTAAAAATAAGGGAAATATAAGTCTTAAAAATAAATCTTTCAGACTTACAAGATTCTGTTACTGTAACCTTACAAATAAAGATAATGTTAGTACTCAGGGAATTGGTTTTATAACTGAACTACCTCAAAGGTCTGACCCATAATTGATTGGGTGTGCTGATCTTTCAATCATGCAAACAAATGTTTAAATAACAGTAGAGTGGTAAGTATTGAGGGTGATGGGTGGTCTAGAAACAGAAAGAAAGAAAGAAAGAAAGAAAGAAAGAAAGAAAGAAAGAAAGAAAGAAAGAGAAAGAAAGTAAGTCAGTCATATATGAGTATAACTTATTTTATAAATTTACAATATGAAATAATTTGGTTGAAGATTATCTATCTATCTATCTATCTATCTATCTATCTATCTATCTATCTAACAAAACTCTACCACAGTGGGCTTCCATATTGGAAATGCAAATATGTTGTAAATAATTAGGCTGTATTTTCACTTTACTGAACATGAGAAGAGATCTGTTAGATCTGGCCAAAGGGTTATCTAGATCATCATTTAGTACCTACAGTGCTTGCCCAAGCTACAGAAGACTAACACATATTCATGATCTTAAGATAGTGATACTCTGCCGTAGTGATAGTTAAAGGAACTATTATTTCTTTACCATCATTCTGCTATCACTATCCAGGATTAGATAGATAATGTATATTAATACTCAAGAAAGACTATTGTCAGGCTCCAAGTAATGCACCCATTACAAATCGAACTCCGAGGCATTGCTTTTCCTCAAAGAACAAATTTATTTAGATACATCATCTTGGCGCTACTGGTGAAAAGCCAGTACTGAAGTTCCTGGGCTTTTCACCCAAATATAAGTTTCAGTTTCTCAAGTTTCCAAAACAAACTGTCACATTGTCCAACCAAGATGGGAGCTGGTTGCTTGGTGACTTCTCTCCTCCTCCTCCTCCTCCTCCTCCTCCGGTCAGCCAGCTGTTGGAATGTGCCTGACTCATCAGCTGGCTATGATGTTTTGACTGAAGGCTCCATCTTCCTTCAGCTCCAAACTGTGTCAAACTGAATTCATGTCAGAATACCCAAGAATACAAATAATCTCATACCCCAATCGAATTCAGGCTTGACAGCTATATGCCAACTTTTAACACTATAAGTTGGCTAGATCAGGTTAAGATCAAGAGCACAATACTATAGATAAGTACTCAAAATTAAGTCTTATTAAGCTCAATGGGACTTTTCCTAAGGTTAGTTTGTCTTAGCATCACAGTTGCACGAAAGAGAAGATTCTCACTCTCGGCTTTATTCCACTGCCTCCACATAGCTTGTTTGCTTTTCAGCTTCCTCTGTACACACATTCCTACAATTTTATTTTAAAAATTGTATGTCTACTTACCACACTGCAAAGGAAATACACTTAGAGTATGGCTTTTAAAATATATGCTTATAAATATCCTAAACAAGTTATAATGCAGAAGTCAGAAATCAAATACTTATCTAAACTATTTTTAGGAATTTCTTTTTCCTTTCTTTTTTCTCCCTTTTTAAGTATTTATAAATAATAATACAGTGGAGATTTTGATCTTAAGCTAAAAGATTTATAGTCTTCTTCAAAAAACTTAATACAATTTTTCTGTTATGATCAATGTTTCATTAATGTTAATACTGAGAATTAATAGTATAACTTTAGTGATTTTCATTGTCCATTTATTGATATCTTCTAAATTGATATCTTTGTTTTAAAGAAATAAAAGAAAAAAGAATAATTGTTTATATAATGCAAATGAGTTCTTTTAGATCTATTTGAAAGGATGCATATGTTAAAAATTAATGATATGAGTTAAATTAGAATGCATAAAGAAGATGAGATTGTTTATGAAAACAGTCTGAGCCAACAAATTCTGCATATACTGAAGAAAAAAAATAAACCTCAGTTGAGGGAAAACTTACTTCCAAGTAAAGTTGCAGTGGACTATACTTCAGGATTTTCTCCTCACAAAAAAAGATAATTTCTCAATTGTCGTGGAGAGTTACTGTTTATTTTTCTTTTGCCTTTATTTCTTTTTTTAGTAGGTCACCCATTCTTGAAGCAGGATAGGAAGAGGTTCACTTTTAAAATTTTAAACCTTTCAACTTTGGTACTGGAGAAAACTCTTGAGAATATGGTGGATGGTCAAGAAACAAACTGATGGATCATCTTACAGATCAATCCAAAAAGCTCACCAGAGGCGCAAATGACCAGACTCATGTTATCCTATTTCAGACACATTATGTGATGATTTAACTCTCTGGAGAAAGCTCCAATGCTGGCAAAAGTGGAAGGACAGAGAAGACAAGGATGACTAGCAGCAAGGTAGATGGCCTCAGTTATAGTCCTGATGAGTACACTGTTGGAAGACCTAAAAGACCAGGTGATGGATGTATTGTCATGGAGACAAGGGAACTGAAAACAATTTGATGGCACATAATCAACCAATCAATCAATCCTGAAGGCTCTGAGCTGCTAACGGTCAAAAACATCTTCAAAAGAAGCTCTCCAACAATAAATTATCTGCCCAAAGCAATGATTTTTTTTAAAACAAATCCCTTGTAAAGGACAAAGCTGGAGGAGGAATCCTGGAGGGAAAGGCAGCCCCTGCCATCTCATTTAAGACTTTTGGTAAAGAACTACCATTGATTTTCTTCCCTCTTTGCCACCAGCTAGTGTTATCTGCAAGCCGAATGTGACGGCCTTAGTAAAGAACTGAATAAATTCTGTGGTGATGGAAGCAAGAGAAGAAAGAATAGCAAATGGGTAGGTTGGAACAAGGTTATGGAGCTGAAGTTCTGTTGTATAAACATTCCAGGAAGCTACATTTAAGCAAAATCCAGAAATGGGACTCACTCTTTTGCTATCCCAACTATAAATGAACTACTTTGAGTAAATCTCCTTGCCCTCCCATCGTCCACACATTTTTCTTCCTTTCTCAATAATTAATAGTTGTACATGACAATGTCACAAGAGCTTCCTGCACGTATCTCTTATTGCCTTCTTGTTTCCCTCCATAGCCTTATTTGCCCTCTCACAATCCAAGTTCAATGGGACTCAACGAAATGAAAGACTTGCTTCAAAACAGAGAGGAGCAAAACTGCAGTGTCAGAGAATAGGTTCTATCAAAACAAAGATACCCCATTTAGGATAGTTGTACTTTTCTTGCATACATGATGACAAAGCTATACACATGGGTAGCTTTGGGGAACGGGGAAGGGGGGTCTGATCTGATCAAATGCTTTAGCAGAACGTCCCTAAAGTATTAAAACTCCAAAGAACAAGCTTATTCATCAGAAAAATGAACCGAAATACGATACCCGTTGTCTTCTGTAGCTTACTATTTTTTCCTACTTCCCTTCTTTTAAAGACAAAGAAAAGTTAATGCCAACATGCTTGAAGAAAACCAGATTAATACTAGCCCTTAAAAATACACTTCTGTGTTGCTGCAAATGGCCCGAGAGGCAACCAATTGCTGAACTTTGTTAAATTGCACTTACCTGAACCGTGAGCACAAAAAAGGAGGGGCAGTTTAATGACATCTAAGAACCTCATCACCACAGCCGGTCCTCCTGCTGGATGTTCTGGATGTTTATAGATAACCCACTTCCATCGAAAACACAAAAATAATTCTAAACCATAACAGCTGGCAGGCTAGTTGCAGGGAGAAGAGATTTAAGCCTTATCTTGCACCACTGTGAAGCTTTTTAGAGTACACTTCATTGATTTTCAGTCAGCTGTCAGAAGCTGCATGCAAGAATCCTACGAAAGGAAAAAACCCCTGGGTCCTAAATTCTGCCTTGTTGTTTGGGCAATAACTGGGATTCTTCTGAAAGCCAAAGTTAAGTGAATTCAAAGAATAGCTTTAGGCAACGGCAATCAAATGAGTGGTTGGTTTGAATTATCCTCTGTATGCTAAAAAATAAAGGGTGAATAATCTAGATGGCCTGTAGATAGGGGGAGGGAGGGAGGGAGGGAGGAAGGGAGGGAGAGAGAGAGAGAGAGAGAGAGAGAGAGAGAGAGAGAGAAGTTTCGTACACCCGCTGACATCTAATGGTCATCCAGATTATTGCAGCCCATTTATGGAAGCCATGAAGCAGCAGTTCCCAACTTGTTCAGCTTATTGATCTCTTCAAAAAGTTTCAGATTCCCAAACATTTATTATATGAATATACTCTAATTTAATAAATACTACTTTAACTAATAGTACCATGGATAATAATAATAATAATAATAATAATAATAATAATAATAATAATAATATAACATCCCAGATTTAACAATTGTCGGTAAGAAAGACAAAGAAGTCTAGATAGTGGTGTGGCAGTACCTTGAGCAGAATAGAGGAGAAAGAACTGGAGAAGATAACAAAATACAAAGACTTGCAAATAGAATTAGAATGACTGTGGCAAAAGAAAGCAAAGGTACTACCAATAGTCCTAGGAGCTTTGGATGCACCACTTGAATACCATTGTCATTGACAAATTCACCATGAGTCAATTGCAAAGGGCAACTTTTATTTATTTATTTATTTATTTATTTATTTATTTATTTATTTATTTATTTATTTATTTGGTTTGATTTATATGCCGCCCTTCTCCGGAGACTCAGGGCGGTTTACAATGAGTTAAGCAATAGCCTTTATACTTTTGTATATTTATACAAAGTCAGCTTATTGCCCCCACAAACTGGGTCCTCAATTTACCTACCTTAGAAAGGATGGAAGGCTGAGTCAACCTTGAGCCTGGGGAGAGGCTCAAGGTTGCAAAGCATGATCGGAGATGCCGTCTCTCTATAAATACTGGTGGGGAAGTATGGAGTGCTGGCATTGTTGTTGTAAGCCAACCAACACAGCCAACCAACCCGCTTACAACAACAAAGCCAGCACTCCACACCTCCCCACCAGTATTTATAGAGAGACAGCATCTCCGATCACGCTTTGCTCGAACAAGCACAAAGCCGAAGACACCAACCTGAAGATGACAAGTAGGACCTCGTCGTCACCAAGATACTCTCAATCTTACATGGGAAAAGACCCGAATATGCCAAGACTTGCATATATCTATATATATCTATATATTTATAATCAATATATATATATATATATATATATTGATTATAAATCAATATATAAACACAGATCCCACACCTACCTGGAAAAAAACCACTAGATCCAAAATAAAAGCCTCCTCCATCAGCGAAGAGATCCAGCAAAGAATCATTCCCAGAGAGAAATCATCCAGATGCCCTAAGCTCTATGGTCTCCCCAAGATACACAAAGAAGGAATCCCACTTAGACCCATAGTCAGCTCCATAGGCTCACCTCTACAAAATCTAGCCAAATTTCTTGCCAAACAACTACAGCCCTATGCAGAATCCATCAACTCACATGTAAAAAACTCATTCCAGTTCATAGAGATAATAAAGAAACAAAACTTACAGCCCAGTGACCTACTCGTGAGCTTCGATGTCATATCCCTCTTCACCCAAGTGCCAATCAAAGAAGCCTTGACAGCTATCCAAAACAAATACAACCCCCCCAAGCACATCCTAGATCTGACCAACCACTGCCTATCCAACACATACTTCATCTATAACGGACAAAAATACAAACAAATAGAAGGAGCACCCATGGGATCACCCCTCTCACCTGTCATTGCTAACCTCTACATGGAACACTTTGAAACCCAAGCTCTAGAAAAATCTGATCATAAACCGAAACTCTGGCTCCGATACGTAGACGACACCTTCATAATCTGGCCACATGGGAAAGAAAAACTGGACAACTTCCTCACACACCCCATCAGCTTACACCCCAAAATACAGTTCACCATGGAAACAGAAGCGAACAACCAACTTCCCTTCCTGGATGTCCCAGTCTACAAAAAATCCAATGGCTCCCTAGGACACACCATCTAACAGAAGAAAACACACACAAACCGCTATCTGCATGCACTCTCACACCACCATCCAGCACAGATCAACTCTGTAGCCAAGGCACTCATCTCCAGAACAAAACGCTTAGCTGACGAACAATACCTAAAAACCAAACTACACACTCTCACTAACGTACTAACATCCAATGGATTCCAAAGAAATAAGATCCCCAACCTAATCCAAAAAGAAACCCCCACTAAAATCCAAGACAGAGAACAAGAAAACAGCAAAGCCCTCCTCCCATACATAAAAGGCACCACAGACAGAATCAGCAAGATCCTCCACAAACACAACATCAAAACAGCATTCTGCACAAACCGAAAAATATCCACCATCCTAAGAAACCCCAAAGACAAAAGTGAGTTAGAAAATCAAGGAGTATATGAAATCCCTTGCATCGCCTGCCCCACCACATACATCGGACAAACCAACAGAAGAATAAGTGCACGCATTGAAGAACACAAGAACTCAGTTAGAAAAGAGGAACCAACTTCTTCCCTGGTCCAACACCTCAAAGCCACAGGACATGATATTGACTTTAAAAAGACCAGAACTATCACCAAAACTGAACACTTTAACAACAGAATAATCAGAGAAGCCATAGAGATAGAAAAACGTCCACACAGCATGAATAAACGAGATGATACCTCCCACCTGCCAGCCATTTGGAAACCCACCCTTATTGACAAACGAGTCCCTAACACAAAGAATGACACCAGACCCACACTCACGAGAGCCACACAGGATGTAACCACCACACATCCACGCAGAAAGCAGACTCAGACCCACACTGATGATCAGACACGACCACGGACCAGAAGCCAGACCACAGCTGCATCATTAGCCACTTTAAACCCCTCCAATCCATACATGAAGCAGACTGACACCCAACATGAAGAGATGGCATGGCCATGAACACGAAGCCAAACAACAGCAACACAGCTCACCAGCTCAAATCCCCTTGCTACTCAAACTAACCCGAGCACAACCAAGCCCCCACCGAAACAGAACACACACCCATCCAAACAGAGCACAGCCAACCCCCCCATCCAATCAGAGCACAGCCAAACCCCCAACCAATCAGAACACACCTCCACCCAATCAGAACACAGCCAAGGTCCCACCCAATCAGTTCACACCCCCACTGGCAGTTAAAAGGAAGAAACAGCTGCGATCACACACATTGCTCCTAGAAGCACGAAGCCGAGAACACCAGCCTGAAGATGACGAGTGAGACTTCGTTGAAACGTTGCCAAGACACCTCCAATTTTACGCGGAAGAAAACCCGAATAACCAAAGACCTACATATATATATATATATATATATATATATATATATATATATATATATATATAATATATATAGTAAATTATGAACCTTTGATTATTTAGAAGCATATAATAGTGAAAATAAGAAAGAAAAATAAATATATATCAATATTAATTTCATATAAAGATACCACAAGCAAAAAAAATTGAACTTTACAGTCAAAATTGAGTATAATTTTTTTTAAAGGATAACTGCATTTCCTATTAGACTAGTAGTTATGTGACAATTGTTTTGGTCAGAAATGAATTAGTTAATATTAAGCTCTCCAATCTATTATTACTTAGGGTATATGTTTAATTATACATCAATTTTTAACATTTCTCAGATGAAAACAGGGATATAATTGTAACCTGTGTATAAGTATCATTCCCAATCCAATATATGAACTCCTGTTATATATCAGCTGTATTTGTTTAATTTGCAGTGCCTAAAGAGTAGATGTGTTTATTTGATTAAAGATTTTTGAAGAAAAAAACTATCCTGTATCATTGAACCTAGATTTGGTTCAAAATATTTGAACTAAAAGTTCAAAATTCATCTCAGCAGCTGCACCATTGAAAACAAGAAGCTATGAAAAATGACATATTTCCTACGTGCACAGAAAAATAAAATATGCATTTATTCAATTTACTCATTGCAACTTTATATATAATAATAATAATTTTATTTCTATACCGCCCTTCTCCCGAAGGACTCAGGACGGTGTACAGCCAATTTAAAAACACAAGACACAACAATGATTAAAAATTAAAATAATTAAATAGATTTGGCCGATTTAAAACCCCAAAAATTTAAAATACCCCAATTTAAAATTATTATGTTGATAGCCCGGCCTGGCGGAACAACAGGGTCTTCAATGTGCAGCGAAAAGAGCTCGGAGATCTTACGTATTTCCGGGGGCAGTTCATTCCACAGGGCTGGGGCTCCCACAGAGAAGGCCCTCCCCATGGGTGTCGCCAGCCGACATAACTTGGCTGATGGCACCCTGAGGAGACCCTCTCTGTGGGAGCGGACTGGTCGGTGGGAGGCTATTGGTGGCAGAAGACGGTCTCGAAGGTACCCGGGTCCTATGCCATGGAGCGCTTTAAAGGTGGTAACCAACACCTTGAATCGCACCCGGAAGACCACTGGGAGCCAGTGCAGCGCAGGAGGGGTGTCACGCAGGCACAACGAGTTGCGCCCATAACCACCCATGCTGCTGCATTCTGGACCAGTTGGAGCCTCCGAGTGCTCTTCAAGGGGAACCCCATGTAGAGAGCTTTACAATAGTCCAGCCGGGAGGTGACAAGGGCATGAGTGACCGTGCGCAAGGCG